GCTAAAACATCCTTCCAGGATTATACACTACCTGGCAAAACAGGGCCATGTAAGATGCTGTTGTAACACAGATACACGTGTATAAAGACAATTCCCAAGCCTTGGGGCAAGGGTGGGAGAGGGCTGCATGCACAGGGATTGCACTGTGTAAAGCTGAAATGGAGCCACCTCTGCAGAGGAACACGACAACTCTTTAATACTGCTTCACAACCCGCTGCATTACAGAGGAAATGAAGATGAATGCCATCACCTCGGAAATGTCAAAATCCTTGACTCCAGCTAATCGAGCGGAGGAGAAGTGAGTAGATGCAATTCATACTTCCGAGCTCTAGAGATTGTTTTAGGAGCTCTGGTGCCAACACACATGGTTCACGCTGTCCCTTGGGTGACCTTCCACTGCTTTGCTTCCCTCCTGGCTAACGAGGGATGATCATCTCTCACTTAACACAGTTGTTCTGTGCCAAACCTAAGCTTTGCTTTCTCAGGTGCGGAGCCTGCCAAGACTCCACACTTGCTTCTCTAGGATTTGCAACAGATGGAAAAGCAGCTTTCTCTTGGGATCCAGAATCCAGCCTGGCTTTCACCCACCCTGGCATAAACAGAAGGCTGTTGCACCCACCTTGAGGGGGACAGATCCCAGGAGAGACCTGAACCAGAACACAAGCCAGGACTTCATCCATCACAGCTCTTACTGTGGCGATGCCATCAGACTCTGACAGGAACATGTTCAGGTGTTGCACCTGTGTATTGTTGCAGTAAAGCTACTGGGTTACTTGCCTTTCTGTTGGCAACACTCCCTCCCACCATGCTCCCCCGCACTTATGTTTCCTGAACTGCAAAACAACAGATATGGAAAGATCTCTTGGATCACTTTCTCCAATCTTCATGAGCTATAAAATAGCTACTGCAGAACATCACAGGCTTTGGCCAACTTCATCCCATGTGGGTGAGTAAGCCAGCAGAGCTTCTGTGACCAGTCTGGGGGAACAAGCAATAAGAAGCCAAGAGGAAACATAGGCTGCAGCCAGGAAAATATTCCTAACACACATCTTTCACATCCACAAATACCAGATTGGCATGTCCATTAACTCTGCATTCACTCTGGTACTAGCAGTTATGGCTCACCTCCTTGACCAGTTTGTTATGGAGCCAATCTCCACCTACCGCACTTAGGATGTGGTACAGGTGCTACAGGGAGCAGCAGAGGAGAGAGGAACTCCACCACTACCAGTGGGAACAGAAGAAGGGATAGACATTGCCGCCTAAAGCAATGCGACCACATCAGGTCCCAGCCAGGGCCTGTCTACTCCTGTGAGACATCCTCTTCCAGTCCCTTTCCAGGCACATACTTTAACCTTCTACATCTCTCAGTGTGCAGCACGCTGCCTCAGATCCCAGGAATAACGACATTTGAGATGCCAGCTGGCATCTCCACTGTGAAGAGGTCTGCCTGTACTGCTAATTCAGCCCAGCTATCCTCTCTGTTATCATCTCCCCTAGTACCAGCCTTCTGGGCTCCTGGAGGTTAAGATTCCCAGTACTGAAGCTCTGTGTTTATTGCTGTTTTTTTTCCCCTCCTGAACCAAACTCTTTTTTGCTTTTGAATCATTTCTGCACTCTGACTGTCCTCAGACCAAGTCAGGCCACATGCCACTGATGAAAAAATAATCTAAACCAAATCAAAAAGCTTTTTCTGTTGCATGTACAGTCAGCTGGTCAACCAAATTAGATGGAAGAAGTTTTAGCTTTGTCTGTGCTGTTACTGTGACTCTGCATGGACCCCAGACCCCCACAGGGTAGGGGACAGGTTACATCTAATCCTCCCCCACCTGTGAATTCTGCTTCTGCATTTCCTGAGACTTCCTGCAGTCGCTGCGCTTTCTCTCCTTTCTTTAAAAACAAACCAAAAAATGAACAGCACTAACATCTGGGGAAAAAAAGCCCAAACAAAACAAGAAACAATGTATTTTTGCTCTTAATCTGCCCACCCTGGGTATGGAAGAGCCTGTTGCTGCTACCAGTAGCTACTTTAGGTTGAACAGTGTTGGAGAAGGTCCCATGGGGTTACTGTGCCGCAAGAAATCACGCCAGTGCATCCCTACAAACTTGCCACATTAGTCCCGATGGGAAATGGTGTTCTCTCATTTTGTTATTTTTAAATAATTGTTTTTAAAGCCTATTTAATCCCTCTTTGTACATACATTATTTAGGAATTTTCTGGTTTTAGGAAGTTACCCCCCCAGTCATCACTGAAAGGACATGGACAGATCAGGAGAGCATTGCTGCTCTGGGGAATCTTTCCCTTTTAAACCACTGAACTTTTCCCAAAGGTACCACTCATCCAGATGTATGCGGAGACCACTGGCACTGCACAGCCTGATTTTAAACAGGTGCCCCATGCCACAGTAGGAATGGCAATTTAAACAGCTCAGCCACATAAGGAACTCTGTTTAGAGGTAGACAATAATTATGGTAACTCATGCCCACTGCTCCCCCTGACAAATCCACACTTGATGTTTCCCCTAATTTCTTTCCTTTGGGAAAATAATTAACCAAAACCTACTGGAGAGTATCATTCCTCATTCCCTGCTTTTGCTCAGACTGCCTTGAAGCTGAAAGAAATATAAGTATCCACAGCTCTGTGTGCTTTGCGGTGAGTTTACACTTTAATTACAAACTATTATTTGGAGGGGGGGAGGCATACACTAGGGTGGGTAAATTACAGATTTTCTGCTGTAAGCAGTGAAGTTGCTATGAGCTAATACAGGGGAGGCTTCAAACAGGGATGGGTAGGATGCCTGTTGCTTGTGCAATCATACTAAAAAATCTCTGGCCCTCTCTGCAGTTACTTAGAAAAGAAAACCACCACCAACAGCAAAAATAATAAAGCAGAAAGAAAAGACCAAAATTAAATTAAAATAAAATGAAGCAGAACGATCAATCTGCTAAATAAGCCAGCTTGGAAGCAGGCTTTCCTTGACTAGGTCACTTTTGGAATGGATTTTGGGATGTGCACAGTTGTGTCCGAGAGACCCTGTGCTACCTGCCATCCCCAATTCCCAGAGCTGTTCCCCAGCTCCAGCCATAGGGTAGCCAAGGGGTTATATCTTGCTTGAGGATAAATAAAGAGGGAAAGGGGTGTGTGGGGGGAATTTAGGCAGCCAACGCAGCAACACCCGGCCTCTCCTCCGACTCCCCCACCCCAATCAAAACCTCCTTTGCATTTCCATGCCCTAAGGGAGGGTTGCTGTCTCTGCGAAAGAAAAGTCTAAAACCGCTGGTTGGCACAGGGGAAGGATTGGAAAGGGGGGAAAAACAACCCCCCAAACCCAAAGAGTCACCGTCTAGCTCCCCCCCTGCACACACCTGATGCCCCGGCTTGGAAAGAGACTGCCTGCCCTTCTCTCCATCGCCTCCTTCCCGGCTTTTCCCTACCGAGAGCAGCCTCTCCCGCACCTACGGGAGTGGGAACGGGAGCGGGACCGGGAGCCGGGGGGGCCGGGGCCGCTCTGCCCTCCTCTCCCCTCGGTGGGTGACAAGGGAATATTTATGATGGTATTAGAGGAATGCGTTTCCTTCTCCAATCAGGAATGCAACCAGAGTTTCTAATTATAAGTTAGATGGTGGCTGGGAATAAAAGATTGCTTTTTAATGACTCCCGTCCAGGTGCTCTTTCTGCCTGTCTTCCCAAGAACACATTTGCATTTTATTGCTTTTCTCCCATCCCAACGAATTCCCTGCTTTCAGACATACCTGAAATACTTTGGAGAGACTGCCTTCAACACCCTCACCTCTGCACCGCCGGGCAGCGCAGAGGTACCGCGCCCGCGGCCCCCGCTCGCCTCCGATCGCACCTGAACCCCGCTAACGCCCCTCGCCAGATGAAAGGGGACACACACACACACACACGCACACACATTAAATGCACTTAAAACAATTAATTATTACTAGCAAAATCTTTTGGACGCCTCTGAGTTATTCACAGCACCGCCCGGGCTGCGCAGCAGCTCCCGGTGCCGTGCACCCCGGCCTCCTCTCCGCGGGGAGCGGGGCTGGCCACTCCACACCCGCGCAGCCCCTCTCGGCTCCGCGCAGCCCCACGCTTCCTTCGCGCCGGTGCCGGCGGAGCAAGAGTCGGCCCGCTCTGGGGCTTCCCTGAGCCCAATTACCTCCGCGGGGTAATTAAAGCAGATCTTGCAGTTACATGCCTTGCCCAGCACCATTTGCTTTTTGTAGGGGAGAGAGAGAAAAAGCTCTTAAAGGCGTAGGGTGCAAAGAGCAAAAAAAAAAAAAAACAAAACCCAAACCAGAAACAACAAACCGGGATAAGAAAGCGCGTTATCCCGGGGGAAACGGGTGCGCAGGTCCCCGCCGATCTTGCGCTGGGCAGCGCCGGTCACACCACCCCTAGACCGGTCTCTGCTCCCTGCTCTGCCTTTCCACAGCCAGCCCAGGTTGTTCAGCCTCCTCTCATCTCCTTTCTCTTTCATTTTCCCCCCTCTTTTCCCTTTTTTTTTTTTTTTTTCCTTTCTCCCTAAATATTCCTTAAAGCGAAGGGGAAAAAAAAAAATTCATCCTTTCTCCCCCTTCCTTCCACCTGACTAGCTCGAAATCACCTTGAAATGCTCATGTCAACTTGTATCATTATCTCTTTAATTCAGGCAGCGCCTTTTGTTCTTCACAGGAGAGGATCAAAGCACTTAAAAAAAAAATAACTTTCCGATCGCTCTCGCTCGCTCTCTCTCTTTTACAGTAGGAGAAGGAGAGATCAGGTATAACCCAGTCAAAATAAACAAAGTGAATGCATAAATAAAAAAGGTGAAATGCAGGTTCTAAGAACTTGCTGGCGCTGGAACAATCCCACCTCTTTAGCTGAGTGGCAACGAAAGGAGAATTTCAAGTCATCTTAAGCGCAGGGGTTGCAGAGAAAACAGAGGAGGGGAAAAAAATAAATGAAAATGAGAGGAAAAAAAAAAAAAAAGAAGAAGAATAAAACTTACCACCAGATTGGGTAACTTGACAGAGCCTGACTCAACCCACAAAGAAACAGGAAATATCCAAAAGAGGCCATTGATGAAAAGTTGTCTTTTTTTTTTTTTTTTTTTTTAACCAGAGTTGCCAAAAACCTTCCTTTCTTCTGAGGCAGGATGATTATTTTAATAATAATAATAACAATAATTTAAAAAAAAAGTCAAATGAAGTGAACTCAACCCGACCAGGTAAATCCTCTCTTGCTTCCTCTACTACTCTCAAGGAAAAAAAAATCTCAGAGAGGTAAAAAACTCTTCTCTCAGCCAAGACACTGAAGGCAAATATTAAAAAAAAAAAAAAAAAAGTTTGAAGTAGCTCTCTTAAAAAGGACCCAATCAGCACTTATTGCCAAAGGGAGAATTCTGATGCTTTGGCTTGTTCTGTCAATCAGGAGCGTGAAGTCAGGAATGAGCTAATTGCAAGGAGATAGTGTTTTAATACTCATTAGGGGGCACGTTGGCCCACAAGCCAAGGGATAAAATGTAGTTTTAAAAAGGGGAAGGAAGATTTAGGGGGTTTAAATAGACAGGGGGGACCCCTGTGGATTTGGGTAGCTATAACAACCTGCCCGGATTTCACTCCCTGGGTCGAAGCTACTAAAATGCAAAAAAAAAAAAAAAAAAAAAAAAGAAAGAAAAAAAAAAGAAAAAAAAAAGTGTGATTTTTTTCCCCTTCCTTTTTTTTTTCTTTTTTTTTTTTTTTCTTTTTTACTTATTATTTACTCGGTTTGCTCTTTCTTGCCATTCTGTCTTCTCATACCCCTGTTTCCTCACGGTGACGGTCAGGACGCATTTGAACTAACTTTCCAGAAACTATCTGTTGGTTATCTCTCTTCTTTTTTTTTTCCTCCTTTTTTCATTAAAAAAGGAAGATTTTCACCCAGCCATGCACGCGCGCACACAGGCACACACACCTCCGACACCCACCCCCCTTCCCCACCAGTCCAACCAGCCACATATCCAAGAGCTCCACTGAAGGCATCTGCTATGAAATCAACTTCTTCCGTGCAAATCTCAGTAAGGCTCGTCCAGATCATCACAATTTACAGGAGCCCCAGCCCTGGACTTTGCGAAGGCACTGCTGCAAACGACTTCATCCACCAGATCCACCCCACCGGGCACTAGTAATTGATCTCTTTTTTAATTTCTTTCTCTACCTATTGTAACCAATTTCTCTCTTTTCAGTGGCAGTGGTGGGGGGTGAGCTGGGGTGGAGGTGGATCGCGCTGTTCCAAACATTTGCAGGTTTTCGGTGGGGTGGAAATAAAAAATAATTAAAAAAAAAATCATGGTCAGTATTATTATAAAGATGTAGCTCCTGGAGACTGGGTATGTGGTTAGATTTGCTGCTCCTCTGGAACATATTGTTTAAAGCTTGATGGATCTGTGGGCAAGTGTCACCCAGATGACAAGCTTTCCCCTTACCCTGGGTCATTTGAAAGGGGGCTTGAGAGGCAGAAATGAGGGGATGGAGGCACTGGTTGAGCTACGAGATATTTTCTCTGTGGAATAACAACGATGATTCTCTTCATATTGTTATGGCGGCTGCCTGTTGGCTTTTTTTTGCTGTTTTTTGTTGATTTTTAAATTCATTTTTTTTAGGGGAGAGAGAGAACTTGTTGAGATTTTACTTATTTATTTGACTTTATTTTATTTTATCTGTGAATCAGAAAATTTCTGTGGCTCACACAAAACAAAGAGAGGTACAATTTTTCATGACTTTTTGGAGAAAGGCTTGCAACCTTTCATGAGCTCATATCAAAATGCATTTTCTTTCTCATTAAGAATTGCATATATATTTTCCCTTAGTAGGGAATATTTCTATTTACACACACACTGCTTTATATGCATATATAAAAAGATATGTTTGTGTTTATCTAGATGGAGAGATATACTCATTCTAGTGAAATTATACTAGAAATGCAGTTCATTCGGGGATATTTAAATCATTGGGAATTTGGCAGGGGTCGGGCCCTGATTATTTTCTTTAGGGTTGGATGACAAGTGATTGCAAATGTGAACACTGGCAAGTGCTCCGAGATCTAATCACTCTGTGTAGCCAAGCTTGAGTTGATCTGAGCGGCTTCTCGCTTGCTTCCAGAGGAACGGATGCTCTCTCTGGCTCTCCCAGCAAATCCCCATGGTGTCGGTACTGCAATTATGCTGAGTGTATTAAATCCATCCTCCCCACCTCCTTCAGCAGCTCCCCTCACCCCAGAGGAGCCAAAGAGGCTGGAGAGGGAGAAGAGAGTTTTATTGCACAAGGTAGGACAAGGAGAAGGAGGAGGGTGGTGGTGTGTGAAAAATCATCTTAAGGACTTTCCCTCCGTATTAGAGAAAATCCCATCCAATTATAGCATTACTGGAAAGAACTAAACACTGCAACTTTCAAAGGAGGGGATTTCTCTGTCTTTTCAAGTGAAATTGCTCACACTGCAGACAGGAACACACACACACATACACACACACATACAGGGACCCTCAGAGACACCAGCGCCTGCCCGGCCATGGGGGTCTTGGTAAACTGGGGATGGAGGAGGAAGGGGCAGGACACACATCCCTTCCAGTGGTCCAGCTAATCTCCCCTCCTTTTGTTCCTGGGGAGAAATTTAAACATCCCCCAAAGCCTCTGCCCCTCCCTTCAGGAAGCACCAGGCAACTTTACCTGAAGGTACAAATTCAGCCACTCTCCCTTTTCCTCTTTACTTTGCAGCTGCTATTTGGGGAAGATGGAGATAATCCACTTTGTCATAGGCACACACACACAAGCAGGATAGTATTGATTTCTTTGGCAGGCAGCACTGCTACTTACTCTGAAGCCAACTGCTTTTAATTATACTGATAAAAAGGTAGTCGGGTATATAATAGCCATTCCCATCCCTAGAAACACTACTGTAGATTAGTTATCTATTACCAATGTTATCTTTGAACTTAAAGGGTGAGATTTTGCAGTCCATTAGAGTCAGTAAAAAGGCTGCCACAAGCCTTATGGATGTGGAACTGCTGGCATTTGGCTGCCCAGATCTGCAGGGTCCTCTCCCAGCAATTGATTTTAGGGCCTGATGTCAGAAGCTCCCTAAGCTCATCCATGCTGGTCCATTGGTTTCTGTCCCTCTCCCAAATATTTGGACATGCATTCAGACACATGCTTTGCAATGAGAAAGATCTGGTCCTCATTGAGGTGATGCTTTGGCTTCTTTGCTTTTGGTGTTGCTTTGATGCCCAGGGAGAAATTCTGAGGGAAGTCCAGGTGACAGGGTTGTGAATCCTCAGTGGTAGACAGCAAGGCTCAGTTCTAGTGGAGCTGCAACTTGCTCTGTACAGATTTTCCACAGTGCCCATCCTCACACCATCAAAATAAGCACCAGGGCTTGGCTTGTGGCTTCCCCAGGATGTGAAGGTCCATCACCCTGACTTGTCAAAAGGGAGGTTAAATTATTGACTATGCTCACAGTTGTAAGACCAATTCCTCAGCTCCCATAAGCCTGCTGCAGAAGTAGGTATGTTAACTCAGTTATCAAGTTGGCATGGGGAAAAGGGGGTGGGAGGACAGGGGGCAGGTCTTAGTATCATGGAATGCCTTATGAAGGCATTGCAGACTGGTCTTGTCTTGCTTACTCATGGGTATGGCCCAGCTGGCATCTTCAGGGCCCACTTGAGTGTGTAAATAGAGTTGGATTTAGAAACATGACTGCTTTGTAGTGTGGTTAAGTCACAGCAGGGAACAGCTATGCCCACCCATGTTCAAAAAAGGCATATCCAGCATTGCTACAACCCAGAGAAGTCTATGTAAAGAGATCAGGGACAAGGGGAGGAGGTCTGGAGGGATCCAGGCAGACAGGAAGCAAAGCAGAGCAGTGCAATGCAGCCAGTCGCGCTTCCCAAATACTCCACATGTCACTTCTCTTGCTCACCTTCCCCCTCTGCCCTGCATGGAGAAAATTCATTGTTGATGCAGAATGGGAAGATCATCCTCACTGAGAGCAAACAGAGCCAGGGAAGGCTCCTTGCTAGGCAGAAGGTTTTGCAGAAGGTTTTACTTATTTTTGGTGGAGGACAGAAGTGCATTCTGTACTTCTCTTTTTAATATTTCAATTCCCACTACTGACATCTGAGTCATTATCTGCTTTTGAAAATTACAACCAGGACTAGTCTGTGTTAGAAGATGGTTAATCTTCCCCATTCGTAATTTGCTCACTGCTTGTCCCACACAACTCTCTCTGAACACAGTGGTCACCATGGCTGTGTACAGCCACCATGGCTGCGTGCAGCCACCATGGCAGCTTGAGAAAGCTACAGCCAATTTTTCCTTCAAAGAATCCTTCCTTCCTCCAAGAAGCCCCCACTGTGGCACGTTGTGATAATGGGAGCACCAGTAAATCCCCACCAGGCAACTTTGTAGCCCACCCTCCCTAAAGCCAACCCTGGTGAGGAACCCCAATAGCATGTAGGCATTGCTACAGATATCTGGAGACCCAGATATCAAAACATGCTGCAAGCACTAAACCTCATCTATCATATTTATATAAAAATGTGAATGCTGGGGTCCTAGATACCTGGGCACTTGGTTGCTGGAGGCCTGGCTTTGCCACCTGCCTTGGCATGTCATTCTGCTTCCCTCTTTCATTTTGCCTCTGTGCCTTTTAAGGTACTCAAAGACCAAGATCCATGTTGTCCGTGTCATCCAAACATCTTGACCAGCACTATAAATAGCAACCAGGTAGGTTAATATGGATCTCATCAGACGCAGAGAGCAAAGCCGAAGATGTGTAGTGGATGGCTAATGATGTGATGCAGTGGCAGAACTGGTGAAAAGATGGGTTTTGCTGCTAAATTCATGTCCCTCCTTCAAGACAGGTCTCTGTGACCAATTTTTTTAACCATAGAAAGATCACTGCTGCCAAGAAGTGCAAGTTGGTCCAAAGTTGAAAATGGGGGGTTTTTGTTCTTTTAAATATACCAAATATACCAATGGCATATTTCACTTTGCCTGACTACAGCTGTCCAAATTTACTCACTTAATTGGCTGCCTTTGTGGTCAGTGGTGCAGTGGAAACCCGAGCAATACATCCCACTGTCGATACTGGCCCGTGGAAGGTGGGGTAAATTGCTTAGGGAGTTGCATTTCTCTTTGGGACCTAGTTTAGACTTGGTGCGTAATCTTCAGATGGTTGAAGTTAGGTGAAAGGCCTACAGGCCATTGTCTCTTCTCTGGGATCTAAA